CATTTTGCCAATCAACAAGCACGGCGAAATAGGCCATCGTGTCGTTTTAAATACTGTTTGGACCAAAACAGGAGTGAGTTGGTGAATGAGTGAGAGAGTGGGTTAAAATTCCACATCGGCAGTATTTCAGCATATCGAGACTACATATTAATAAAAGCCAACTTAAATACAATATAGTCCTCCGTGGCAGCGGTACAAGAATCTATATCGAAACGTCGCACTCACGAAATAAACAAGTTGCTATCCATAAATGTTGTCTATGTTGTACTTCCCAGCTTCTAAAAAGCCGCTCAAAGAAGTTGATAAATATCTGAAAGACAAAATGATCAGAGAATGTTTCTTAAAACTTGAACCTAACGATATTTTTACACCAAAAAAAACCAACCACGGGGACCAGCGCAGGACATCCACTAACTAGGAGTAGGACAGTTCAGTTGAGCCCATAGCGTAGTCTACATTTCATTTTAACATTGCGATGCAGGGTTGATGTTAATATGTATATTTAATATTCGATACAGTTTAAGAACAAGTGTGTGCTACCTTCTTCAGGGAATTGGTCGCCATGTGCTTCCTGACAGTCATGACCATGTAGACTGGTATCGGTAGAAGGGGCAGCACTGCAATAATCCAGTCGATTGTAGAAGCATAGCTAGGAAACTTGTACTTGCCGTAGGTTGGTGGTTGGTAGCGGAGAAGTGTCAAGATGAAAGTGATCTGGATATGAAACAAGGATATCACAAGCAGACTTTGAAAAGGGTAACAAGTATAATTAGTGTGTATTTGGCGCCGGTATATTTCCAGAGACGTGTTTATTGAGATAAAGTTTAATCTTAAAGTCGTGTTGTTAATGCGATGTTCTAACATCAAATTAACTTTAAACTTGTTCCCGTTGGGGCAGAATAAGCTCACCTTTCAGTCAAGTCCCCATATGATTTTATTTTCATATAATTAGTATATAATCTGATAAACGCACACAACGGATAGACTCTAAATCGTGATTTATGGTGATTGAGTATGGAAATGTTTTGTATTTTAACAACATCATGAAGAAGCCTGTAATGGCAACAGGTCCAAGAGTGAGTGAGTGAGTTAAAATTTAAAGTCACTTTGGCAATATTTCAGCCATACCGTGACTAAATCAAGTTATGGATTAATATATATTAATTATTATAAAAACCTGTCAACGAAGGACAGTAAAACAACTAGATTATCACAGGTTGAAATTTATAACTAGTAACCAAATCTAAAACATTTAACTACACACGACAGTACAATATAAAACCAGGCTATAGATTGCCAACAACTGAAGGTAGATCAGCATACTGGGGACCATGGAACAGGTGCAAGAGCACTTGATAACAGACTGTATATACAATATTCATACAACGAGGTGGCGGTGGATGGAAAGCTGCTCAGACGAGTCATATGCTATCATAATAATGATGAGCTTCTTTCACATACTTTGTAAGCAAGTATGTACCACGTGTCTATTTGAGACGTGAAAGCCATCATTGTACCGTGCAACTGTTTTGTACTTACTATCAAGATTGTCGGCGTTACCAGAGCCCAGAGGATCTTTACAGACATCGGCAGTGGCTTGCCAATCATCATCTCAACGTCTTTACTGATTCGTCTTATACCTGACAGAACATATGTTTACACATATGTTCACATTGAAGACAAACATTGTAAGTTCATGTGTGTTCATAACATATTATTTTGTGCAATTGTATTCATATTATACTCTATTAACATTATGACTATGCTACTACCGGTTTGCTCTCGACCCCATGGATACAATCCAAGTAATATGTTTACAATGTCCTTTTTCTTGTAAATAAATTTTGAAGTTTAAAGATACAGTGACGAACTATACTATTCACACTTCGCTAAGGATCAAATATTGATTCAACAGGAAAACTATGGTGTGGGGTCAAATGTGGTTTATATATCTAAGCTTATTGTAATGGATCCAAGTTTTCAGTATGTCACTGCATCTTGTGGATCCACTACCTGCTATTGAAAGGTGTTGTGTACTTGTCATGTGTACTTGTCATGTACTTGTCATGTGTACTTGTCATGCCATGATTTGCAAAATGGTTGGTTGGTGCCATGAAAACCATTTTATGGTTACCCATGTATCAAATGCATAGGGTTAGCTTAAAGTGGCTGTTTTTCTTAAGAAATGTTACCATATCATTATTTATCCAGTTTTAAATGGATACAATTTCAAATTCTAAATCTACGTTTAGATAAAGTTGCGATTTCTTGTGATCCTTAGGAAAGTGTGAGTAGTATATATATCGTGATCTACGAGTGAGTGAGTGAGTTTAGTTTTACGCCGCACTGAGCAATATTCCAGCTATATGGCGGCGGTCTGTAAATAATCGAGTCTGGACCAGATAATCCAGTCATCAACAGCATGAGCATCTATCTGCGCAATTGGGAACCGATGACATGTGTCAACCATGTCAGAGAAACTGACCACCCCATCCCGTTAGTCGCCCACTTACGACAAGCATAGTCGCCTTTTATGGCAAGCACATGGGTTGCTGAAGACCTATTCTATCCCGGATCTTCACGGGTCCGTGTTCTACGATCAGAGTAAGAGTGCCGTTCCACTAACCGATCTTAGCCCAACGCCAATCGTAAACCCCTAAAATCTTGGCATGACGTTACGATCGGCATACCGTTCCACTAACCAATATTACCTAAGTCAATCGTAAAGTTAAGATTCTAAGTCTAAGTTGCTCATGACCAACTTAGGATAGCTAAAATCAATCGTAGAGAAACCAAAATGGTGGCTTTCCTATTCTATGTGAAAAACAAGAGCGAGCATTTCAACGTGAGCGTCCCCTAAAAACCCCCTTGAAATGAATTTGTATATTTCTGTGATGTAAACAAACACTGCACTGAAGCCTTACAAATGTCAGGCCAGTCTGACCACTGTCGTCATGGGATCACAACCGAGCGAGTCGGTGTAACACAATTGTACAACAATATTGCAACGTCATGGTTAAGAATAGGGATGGGTCATGAAGTGAACAATGTTGTGAAACAAAAAGATACAAATATGTGTGATTTCAAGTGCACTTATTTGGTGGGGGATTCTAAAGGCAGGCCGCGTGTTATTCAAGACCACTGACAGATTCTAGATACGTTATAGAGGATGCCTCGTCACGCCTTGTTTATTCTGATTGACAAGGTTCAGGCACATAGTAAAAGCTCTGACACAATTGACATTTTTCAAGTCCAGACTTAAAACCTGTTCTCAGTATATTACTTATAATCTCGGCTGTAAATACTCTCGTGTAAATTATAGTACATAGCGCTTTGAGCATGCCCCAGGATGTGGAATAGGCGCACTATAAATATGCATTTATTATTATTATTATATTATGCCTGATACCCAGCGTTCACACGCACTTGCACCTGAAACCAAGGTGCTCACTACCCTAATATTTTGCTCTAGGTTTTTTCTCCACGTTTACACTTGGTTGGAAAAATACCCATGAAGGCCCGGGTTAGAATATTGAACTTCAATAACCCATGCTTGTCGTAAGAGGCCACTAACGGGATCAGGTGGTCAGGCTCGCTGACTTGGTTGACACATGTCATCGGTTCCCAACTGCGCAGATCGATGCTCATGCTGTTGATCACTGGATTGTCTGGTCCAGACTCGATTATTTATAACTAAGATACCTAGTGAACGCTATGCATCTTAGCTAGATTTTTTACAGACCGCCGCCATATAGCTGGACTAATGCTGAGTGCGGCGTAAATCTAAACTCACTCACTCACTCAGTTCGTAAACTACTTCCATCATTTGCTAGACTATGCAAAGGGAGATAACTCGTGCCTCGCATTCCTCTATCTCACGCACGAAAGAGTCTCGATCTAGACTTGGATCAGATCGTAAGATCGGGACCGGCTACGATCGGTCCCGATGATCGGGTAGTGGAACGGGTAAAACTTTTAGCTAAGATGATTGTAAAATTGGCGTAACTTGCTAAGATTGAACTTAGATAAGATCGGTTAGTGGAACAGCACCCAGGACATGTTATCATCAGTTTGAATACGTCTCTGTCTTGAACATATGTCTTGAAGACATACTTATAGCAACGGAAAAAAACTCCAACTTGCTCAACGAATAAAAGCTACAGAGAACGAGTTTCAGGATTCCATCAACTTTGTCAGATCTTTTACTTCTAAAACAAGTATTCTCTTTATGAAATGAGTTGTTTAGTAAATGTTTTCAAGGAACTGTTGTATCCAACTGAAAGGAATAGAAAACCACGGGTGAAAGACATTTGCTTATGGTGACCTGTAAGTCCATTCTGGGCTAGACAATCCAGTAATTTATATTATGAGCAGCGATGACCGCTGACATACAAAAACTTAAATCATGATCACTTGATCCATTGGGTCAATTTTAACAGTTAGCATATATACTTGATACACATAAATTGATGTACGCACTATATATATCCACGACACGTCAAGACACTCCATTGTACTTATCACCATGGGTCCGATAGACAACACATACCAATCGACCAGCTGAAACATGTACGGCCCTCCCTGCAACAGGAAGTCCATATCGTCCTTCAAACATTATCCAACGTCTACTGTCACAACAACAACAACAACAACAACAACAACAACAACAACAACAACAACAACTACTACTACTACTACTACTACTACTACTACTACTACTACTACTCCTGCTACTACTATTACTACTACTACTACTGCTGCTGCTGCTGCTGCTGCTGGAGAGCTGCTGCTTTTGCCCTTGACATTACAGCCGTCTACAGCTAGCACAATCGTTTCGTCTTCAAATACATGTACCACTGCCACAACAATGACCTTTTTGGACCTACTGAATTGTTCAACAGGTAAGCATAGTCACCTGGGTACAGAAGATGAGTCCAATCAGAAATACTGTCAGGCAGCATCCTCCTGTTAGAAACATCCTCTTCTTGCTCAGCTGCTGCGGATGCTGGTCAATCAGGGCAGTAATAACGACTTCAGTACTCAGGAACTGGAAGGACAACAGTGGACGGTGTAGCTCAATGCAAACCAGTAATATGTTCATAAACATCAGTGTTGTCCAGTTGTATTTTACTCTGAATGCCAATATTGTTATTATTGCGATATTGAGCTGGAAATGTCGTTTAACATAACCTTCAGACATATTCCATCAATGGCATTGCTACTTTTAGATAATATACTGAACATGTAATCAGTAATTATTGTTTGTGCGTTTTCACTCAACGCTCAGCTTGAGATAGAGCTTTGGAGAAAAATAAAAGTTTATGAACTTCTTCAGGTTATGTGTACAAAAGTCTGTGATATCCGTTGTGTGTTTGGAGCTGTTTAACATCAGCACTGCCTAGGCTGCACACTATTCCACTTGTGAATGTGCCATTTAAATGATCGAATCTGAACCCCACAAAACATTGATCTAGTTAATGCTTCAGAGAAGATGTCACGCCCAATTGGTTACTACCAGATAAGGCTGATGGAGACCTGGCTAGCTATTCTCGAAACGTTCGTAGCCCTACGAACTACTTAAGCCTATTCTTAACACATTGGCTACGATCCAAGTTAAGAATTCGTAGGGCTACGAACGTTTCGAGAATATGGCCCTGATCTAAACTGGAATCCTTAATCCCCAGGCACTGACACTCACTCAGTTTCGTTACTGCCAGAATAGGCTGTAGACTGCTCTAATCTAGAATCCCTAATCCCAAATCGAAAAGGGCAGCAATATTCTGCCATGTTACATTTGGACCACTTTTTTTCTCAGCTATCACGATGAATTAGAACATTGAATTGAACACTACATATTGTACCTGTGAATCCAAACCAACCATGAACAACATCAGAAAGAACATGAATGACCACAGCTGAGGGACCGGAAGTTGTGCGAGAGCGTCTGGATAGGTCACAAATCCCAATCCTGGATCTTCAATAGAGACGTAATATGAAGATATGGATCATATATAACTATGTATGATATGGCCAGATATGGATCTATCGTTTTGGCAACAACTTTTAGTTTATACTCAAGATGAGACTGGTTCCATTTTACATGCGGGCCTTGAGTACCTTACCCAATATGTTATCATTAACACTGTATCATCGCCTGTATGTCACAGTCGTACCATTTCGTGGGTCTATTGTTAATCGAAAGTGGGTAATTTTGCCAATAAGTTTAACTGAAACTTCAGGTATATAAATGATCTGTTATCCGTCAATAGCAATAAAAGAGCCAATTCGCTTCCACTGATTTACCCACCTGAACTTACAATAATATGTATCAGTGAGACCACTTTATTTGCATTACATTTAGATCCATTCAAAAAGGTTCAGAGTCAAAAATATGGTTAAATATTCAGAGGGATGACAATTTTTCCTTTTTGTCAATATTCCAACACCTCCAACCTTTACTGTTTACATTTAACAACCTTCGAGGTGCAATCCCGCCTCACATGCCTCTTGGTCAGAAGTGCTTGGGTCAAAGTTACAACATTCAAGATGTCAGGAAGTGTTTTATGGTAGATTTATTGAGAACATGTTACAGTTTGATGCATCACTATTTCATAGTGATTCATAAGCACATGCTCAGAAAATATTTGGAATTAGATAAAATCTACACTGCCTTGAACAGGGATCTATTATGGATAGAGCACAGGTTTGGTCGCTTTTGTATATTGTTATTTAAATAATCTACATGTAAACACAAGGTAAGTGCACAATCAAACATTTTGTAAATCTAAAATTTACCGCCGTTCTGGAAGGTTATGTTCAGTGACATTTGAGGAAATACTACTGCATGTTTTAACGTGTATCCCCTGATTCAACTGTCCCAAACACAATACGCCACTGGACTCTGATAACTAGTTATGAAACATTGTATTCAGCAAGGAGGAATCCTTTAAAACACTTTTCAGGATCAAAAAGTATCATACGAGCCTTGTAGCTTTGGAGTACTACCTATCAGTTACCCAACACTTTCCTTTATTCTTTCTTAAAACCCGGAGTTTGTTTTTATCATACAAAAACAGATTACCTACCCCCTGAGACAACAGTTTCAATGGGAACTCCCGTTTTCTGTGACATGACTCCGAGAGCAGCAAAGGTCACCAGGCCACAGAAGATACTGGTTCCTTCTGAGACAATCGTCAGTATGATACTATCTCTGTAAATATAACACACAAATTTCAGTTTTATACCCATCTTTTCCTTATAATGCCACCAGTATTTTGCAAAGGTGACCTGCATACTTTGAGAAGGTTTCCTTAACATTGCAGTGATAGAACAAACGTCCATGTCCTAAGTGGTTGTTAGTAATGCACGCAAAAGTAATAACCAACCCTGTTGTAATCCATTAATCATGTGAGGTTTCAGTTTGATACTTTTTCATGTTACCGCACTGGTGTGTTAGTAACTCACCGGAGACATGGTTCATGGAAGTTGTTGTAGCTCGCAGCAGTGCCAATCATCCCGAGGCCAACACCCAGTGAATAGAACACTTGCAAACATGCTTCAAGCCACACCTGTGTGAAGTGGTAGTGTAATTCATCGTCAAACAGTTCCATTGTTTCTATAAACATTCAGTAGATGGGAGAGGTCTGCTCCATACTATATTTAAACAGGAAGTTGATATTTATCTTGAATACTATTTTTTAGGACATAATGAATGTCAAGCCTGTTTGGACACAGAATTGATCGATTTCGCTTTGATCTTATTGGCTTCCGTCATAAAAGCACTGGTTTTTATCCCGTTATATATGTATCTGAGCTGTCATTAACATCTGACCACACAGTCCTTTTTAACTGACCAATTATGCTGATGACAATCAATGACTTCAGTTGTAGATATATAACAGATGATGGCATTATTTTACTCTCCATTAAAATCTCCTCTAGCAAAATGTGTGGCGATGTAGGTTTGACCTTCAATCTTGTGAATATCACTGGTTCTCAAACTTGACCTGCTGTTGTAATCACTTGTAGAGAGTTTAGATTCAGTAGAGGGTAATGACGTGCTAGTGTATATATCAAAACTGGAAGCCGAGGAAATACACACACTGCAAAGATATACCACGTTTGATGTATGATATATTTACACAGAGAGTTGATATTTATCTGGAAGCATCAGAAGAAGCAAGAATAGCCCTGCATATTCTCAACATAGTCACAGAATGTTATAGAAGGAAAACATCGGAAGTTATGAAATGAATCATGTTCACAAGCATGTTACATAATTCAGAAACTCGAAATTGAATACTATTGTCATCAATGAATACGCAATGCCATTTTAGAAATTGGTCAAATGTAATATATTTTATTGTATTTGCTAAATAAATGAACGTGAGGCGTGTTTGGTCAGTATTCATCAAGATTGGAAGAAGAGGGTAGTAAGGAAATACATAGAATTGCAAAGACTTGAATTTTGTCAATTGAAACACACCTGCATATCAAGGAGTTTGTTGAAGTCAGGTATGAAAAAGTAATACACGCCATTTAGAGCACCTGGTTGCAGCAGCGTCGTGATGCAGATGGAGATGAGGAGGACGTACGGCAGCAGCGCAGTCACGTACACAGACTGCAGGGAGGGACAGATCAAGTTATTAGACATGCTGTGACCTTCATTGCGTCTATATGATCTGGATTTAGAAAGTTTTCATTTAAGTATTAGCTTGTAAATTAAGTGTTATCTGCATTAAAGATAACGGATATTTACACAGCACACCTAGTAAAGACATAATTCAATGAACAAGTGAGTGAATATGCCTTTTCACCACTTTATCTACATTCCTGCAATATCACGATGGGCACCCATTTAGGGAATCGAACCCGGGTCTTTCGCTTTAACCATTCGGCTATCGTACATAATCCCCGTAGTCATATGGATGCATTGATGTGGGATATTTCTTTCAATTGCTCATGTGAATGACTTTGTTAGATAAATCCCAGTAAAGATAAATTATATTAGGAATCGAGTTTTGATTAATTCAAGATTCAAGTTTTAAATTACAGTATAACAGACCTCCAGCCCAAAGTACATGTTTTTTCTGACACACCTCCTTTTTATACAAAATGTTTTACACAAAAGTGAATAGTGCAAAAGAATGCAAGAGAACATTTCAAACAGCTTTAAGCAGCTTATGGAACATGATATATTTTATAAACGCTTTAGTCACTTTTAAAGTTTTTTCTCCCTTTGAAAGACAGTGACTGAGTGAGTGTGTTAAAATTTAAAGTCACTTTGGCAATATTTCAGCCATATCGTGACTAAATCAAGTTACAGATTAATAGATATTAAAGGTAAATTATAAAAACCTGTCAACGAAGGACAGTAAAACAACTAGATTATCACAGGTTGAAATTTAAAACTAGTAACCAAATCTAAAACATTTAACTATACACGACAATACAATATAAAACCAGGCTATAGATTGCCAACAACTGAAGGTAGATCAGCATACTAGGGACCATGGGGACTTACAGTACCTTTGCTACCTGCATGGAGCCTAGTTGGATTTACACCATCCCTTCAGCTGTTGGCGATTGTAAGAACTGTTAGCCAAAATTAAAATAACAAGTATGCTATGTTTAAAAATCCTGGTAAGTTTAAATTGATTTTAAAAGACAGTCAGCCAGAGCTTTTGCTTTGCTTGGATAAATAGAAATTATATTTCTTGTGGCAGATACATAATTTTCTGCTTTCAAATGGAAAGATATTCATAGCTTTGGTGAAGGTTTCAATGCATCTAAGATTATTTTGAATAATATTATGAATATGGAATCATTCTTTTGTTTGTCCACAGGTCTTTATTACCACTGCAGATACCTGCCATGTTCGGGACCACTGATCTCACTGAGTGATACTGGTATTAAATCAAAGTGGGAGTCAGTAGTCAAAGAGTTATGCATTACAACATGCATCAGTGACTGTAGTGTAGTAGTAGATGTAGTAGTACTAGCAGAAGCAGCAGCAACCGTAGCAGTAGTAGTTTTGTCAGAGGTTGCGACACTGCGTTAGTAGTAGCAGCAGCAGCAGCAGTACTAGTAGAAGTAGTAGTAGTAGAGAGAGTTACTGTATTGGCATCTGTGGCAATGGTAGTGGTATTTTGAGTGGAAACCGTCGTACCAGTTGCAGATGTAATAGCAGTAATGTCAAAGGAGCAGCAGTAGAAGTTATTGCTGTGCCGGTAGACATAAGAGCAAGGAAGAGGCGGCAGCGACGAGAGTGGCAGTACTAAACGTAAAAGTGAGTAAAATTTGTTAACCATAATAGTATATATTGCCTGAAGGACGATATGGACTTGCTGACTTCCTGTTGCAGGGAGGGCCGTACATGTTTCAGCTGGTCGACTGGTATGTATTGTCTCTCGGGCCCATGGTGATAAGTACAATGGAGTGTATTGTCGTTTCGTGGAGATATGGTGCGTACATTTATTTATTGATATCAAGGGTGTATGCTTACTCTTAAAATTAACTCAATCCATCATGTGCTCATGATTAATTGTTTGTGTGTTGGTGGTCGCTGTTGCTCACAATATCAGTCACCGGATTGTCTGGTCCAGAATGGACTTACAGGTCACCATCAGAAAACTTTCTTTCCTCCAAGATTTTCTATTCACTTCATTTGCATACAACAGTTCCTTATAAACATTTACCAAACAGCTCATTTCTTGTCAATGAACAAGTTGAATTTTGTCCCTATATATTGTGTTGGAAGTGAAAGATCCGCAAGGGTCGATGGAATCCCGAAACTCGTTCTTTGTAGTTTACATAATGATATTAAATGTGCATTTGTAACACGCATTTTTAAACATACAAGGATATACATAGTTAGTTGTAATGAGAGGAAAACAGGTGAGTCTTCAACAAGCGTTTGAATGGGGTAAAGTCAACTGCCGATTTTATGGGCAAATTGATTTTATGGCCATAGTTTTTATTCAGTTTTTTTCAGCTGCTAGAAGTATGTCTTCAAGACACATGTTCAAGGTACAGACGTATTCAAACGTATTCAAAGATAAACTTTTTTATCGTGGATGACAATATATAGTTTGTCACTGTATATTTTAACTTCAAAATGTATTTACTTTGTACAAAAAGATCACTTGCTTTTTATTCATGGGGTAGAGAGCCGGTCGTAACATTGTCAGAAAGTAGGTACAGTACACATATTAATAAAATTTCAGTTATGAACGCTACCTTACAATGTTTGTCAGTGTGATCATATGTTCTGTCAGGTATAACACGAATTAGTAAAGACGTTGAGATGATGATTGGCAAGCCACTGCCGATGCCTGTCAAGATCCTCTGGACTCTGGTAACGCCGACAATATTGATAGTAAGTACAATGCAGTAGCACGATACAATGATCGCATTGAAGTCTCACATAGACATATGATACCTTGTATATGTGCTTAAAATATGTGTGGGGTGAGGGGGGTTGCCTAGTGGTTAACGCGTTCGCTCGTCACGCCGAAGACCCGGGTTCGATTCCCCACATGGGCACAATGTGTGGAGCCCATTTCAGGCGTCCGCCGCCGTGATAGTGCAGGAATATTGCTAAACGCGGCGTGAAATCTCACTTCCTCAATCACTCACCAAAAGGTGAGCGTATCCTACACCGACGAGGACAATTTTTAAAGTGGTATTTTGTTTTAGAACATTGCAGTGACACCTTAAGATTTTTCTTTAGACAATAAACACGTCTCCTGAAATGTATCGGCGCCACATACACACTAATTATACATGTTACCCTCACGACACTTTGTTTTATATCCAGATCACTTTCATCTTGACACTTCTCCACTATCAGCCACCAACCTACGGCACGTACGTGTATCCTAGCTACGCCTCTACAATTGGCTGGCTCATTGCAGTGCTGCCCCTTCTACCCATACCCGTCTACATGGTAATGACTGTCAGGAACCACATGGCGACCAATTCCCTGAAGAAGGTGATACATTGTTTTTCTTCCGTCTTAAAGAATTCTGGTGACATTTCAGATTATGCTATCCATAACACTGCTTTTCACGTTTGAATTTGAAGGTCTTTGATTTG